CAGGTGAAGGCAGTAGTCGGCCATTAGTAATTATGTTATTGATTCACCTGTCACCTGATGTATTGTGTGCTCTCTCTCTCTCTCTCTCTCTCTCTCTCTCAGCTCCAACACACTTAACACGAGTTACTTTAGTCATTTGTTATGGTATGGGGGTTAGGTTAGGCTTGTGTGTGTGTGTGTGTCAAATTGACTTCTGTATGTGTGTTATGGTATGGCGTTGATGTCGTTCTGTTGTCTTCCTCCTGTCGTTGTCTTCCTCCTGTCGTTGTCTTCCTCCTGTCGTTGTCTTCCTCCTGTCGTTGTCTTGGGGCAGCGTGTACAAGACTTCCTTCTCGGTGATGTGTTATATATGGTTGTCAGGTGTAGCCACAGGAATAATATCTTCTTGACGTCTTGAATGTACTGTGCTTGTGTACATCCATGGTGGAGTGTGTACATCCATGGTGGAGTGTGTACATCCATGGTGGAGTGTGTACATCCATGGTGGAGTGTGTACATCCATGGTGAAGTGTGTACATCCATGGTGGGAGTGTGTGTGTGCATCCATGGTGGTGTGTGTACATCCATGGTGGTGTGTGTACATCCATGGTGGAGTGTGTACATCCATGGTGGAGTGTACATCCATGGTGGAGTGTGTACATCCATGGTGGTGTGTGTACATCCATGGTGGTGTGTGTACATCCATGGTGGAGTGTGTACATCCATGGTGGAGTGTGTACATCCATGGTGGAGTGTGTACATCCATGGTGGAGTGTGTACATCCATGGTGGAGTGTGGTACATCCATGGTGGAGTGTGTACATCCATGGTGGAGTGTGTACATCCATGGTGGGAGTGTGTCATCCATGTGGATACATCCATGGTGGAGTGTGGTACATCCATCCATGGTGGAGTGTGTCCACAACCATGGTGGTGTACATTCTCTGCAAGGTAGTGTGCTGAGTGATGTAGGGTAGTCTCTCTCTCTCTCCTCACCCTCTCACAACAGTGCCTGATGCAACTACCGATAATAATTATAAAGGGGGTAGGGAAGGGGTGAGAGGAAGTTGGGAGGGGAGGGGAGGTGTTGCATGGGGGTAGGGGGTGGGTGATGTGGCGATTGATCTGTGGCTGATGAGTTGGGATAGTTTATTGATGGTGGTGAGAGATGGTGGTGGTAGAGGCATGGTGGGAATGGTGATGTTGAGCCACCACCACCACCAGTACCTCCACTACACACCACCATCACAACACCATCGCTACCACTATCATCCCAACCCTCCCCTCCTCGCTTCCCTCCCTTCCCTCGCCTTCCCCTCTCACCTCCCTCGCCTCCCCCTCCGCCTCCTCGCCTCCCCTCCCTCCGCCTCGCCTCCCTCTGCCTCCCCACAAGCACCACATAATTGCCAGTGTTATATGCTTTAGGGGGTTATACTGGTACCCATCCCCCTCCCCACCACTAGATATGTACCTGTCACCTTTGTAGTTCTGTTAATTATGAGAAGAGAGAGAGAGAGAGAGAGAGATTTTGTTTTTTGTGAATTAAATTGGGGAAAATTTCTGTTCTT